CCCCTCCCTGGAGGTTGGGGGTTAGGCTGAAAGTCCTAACCCTCTAATCCTGCCTTGATCTTTCAGGAGGTCAGTCCCCATCCTGAAGCTACCTAGGGGCTGCCAGTCATCAGTTGACTCAGCATACAAAAAGATATCACTTTGGAGATTCTGAGGATGCTAGGAGTTACATGCCAGGAAACAGGGTTGCAGATCAAATCTATACTTCACAATATCACACTCCTATGGAACACTTTGGGACACACCCCTGAATCTTTGAGCATCAGTTGTTGACATCATTCTGGTCATTATCTCATCACTGGATTATTTGTATATAAATGGATTTTCATTGTAAAGATATTGGGGTTGATGACCCCAAGAATGGCTTCCCTGGTCTTTCTCAGGACAAAGGAGAGTTCCCACCACTCTGCAGGGTTCATTTTCCATGAACTCTTTATCTACATTTTAAAAAGGAAAATGTAAAAAAAAAAAAAAAAAAAAAACAACACTTTATCTAAACTATTCTAAGATTTGCTCAACCCAAGCCTTTCAGGACATTCCTTTGAGGAAGTTTCTAGCCGTGGTGGTAGCTGCAGGAGCTTCATCTGATACACAGTGGGAGTATCCACCAGGGAAGAGAGTGTCTTGAAGTTAAACGTGAGCTGTACCATAGGCCCCTGAGCTACATGAAGCTGATGAAGAGGGTACACCCTCCCCAAACCCCTCCCCACCAGTTTAACAAGAATCAACAGAGCATCTCCAGGCTCAACTGGACTCCAAAGACTAATTTCTTAATAGAGTGTGACTACTGTCTTCTGTCTTCTTTTTATCTATCTATCTATCTATCTATCTATCTATCTATCTATCTATTTATTTATTTATTTATTTTGAGACCGAGTCTGTTGCCCTGGCTAGAGACCGAGTCGCACTCTGTTGCCCTGGCAGCCTCACTCACACCAACCTCAAAGTCCTGGGCTCAAGCAATCCTCCTGCTTCAGCCTCCCAAGTAGCTGGGACTACAGGCATGTGCCACCGTGCCCGACTAATTTTTTCTATATATTTTTAATTATCCAGCTAATTTCTTTCTATTTTTAGTAGAGATGGGGTCTCACTCTTGCTCAGAGCTGGTTTCGAACTCCTGAGCTCAAATTATCCACCCGCCTCGGCCTCCCAGAGTGCTAGGATTACAGACGTGAGTGAGCCACCTCGCCCAGCCTCACTTCTGTCTTCTTAAGGGATAGTAAATACTTGGCCACAAAATAGTTAGATTGTAAAAGCTCTGGCTGAGGCTCTTAAGAAATGAGGCGTTTTTGACTGGTCCAACGTGATGGAGAATTTGATCCAGAGAGAACCATTGATAAAAAGCTGCATTAGTAGTTGTTCTTTAAAAAGGATCTCTTTTGAAGCAGTCAAAAATCCAAGGTGTGAGGAAGCTGAGTGCTGTGTTCACTCCCCCAACACATTGTGCTTGCCCACCAGGATGAGCATGCTGGAAAGGGCATCAGACTGGGAACAGTTCATCTGTCGTCTGCCTTTTGCTCAAGGACACCTTGGCAGTAGGCTCCTGCTCCAGCCACTCCTACCTTCTTCCTGGGAAATGCCTGGCCCAGAGGGCGTGTTCGCTCTCAGTCTTGGCATCCTCATTTCCAGCAACCTTCTCCACCTACTCTTTATATGCTCTTCCATGGCCACTTTTGGACTCTTCCATCACCTGCAACTGCTCCACCTTGAAATCCCTATTCAGACAACTCATAGGCACAGCCTGCTGCCCTTCCAGGCTGCCCTGTGATTGCCCCAGTCAGACCTTGCTGTTCTCAGCAGGACCTGTGGTCCCTTGGGCCCTCCCCTCTCCTGCACTCATTAATTTCCTCATATTTAGCTTGGATCCCACGATCCATCATTTTGAGCAGTCTCTTGGCAGTACCCACTTGCACATTTGTTGGACCACAGCCCACAGCAGGAAATATACTTTGTGCATGACCTAGGGCTCACCTGCATAAATGTTTATATATACACACACATATGTGCGTAGGGCTCTCCCAACTTTAACCCAATCATAATTATTTAAAAATCTCTCCCTGAACATCAGCTTGTACAGCTCTGGCCCCGTTTCTCTCATCTTTATCAAGCTGTCACAACAGTCATCTGTATCAGTCAACTGCATTGGTTTCCTATTGCTGCTGCCACAAATTATCACAAACCTGGTGACTTCAAACAGCACAAATGTATTCTCTTATAGTCCCAATGGTTGAAAACGGAAGTGTGAGCCGGGCTGCATTTCTTCTGGAGGCCTCAGGGCAGAATCCATTTCCTTGCCTTTTCCAGTTTCTGAAGGTGGCCTGCATTCTCGGGCTCGGGGCTGCACCGCTCCAGTGGCTGGCTCCTTCCATTGTCACACCTCCTTTCTCTGACTTTGAACCTTTTGCCTCTTGAGGACCCTTTGATTGTATCAGGCCTCTCAGATAATCCCCGAGAGTCTCTCCATCTCAAAATCCTTCATCACATCTGCAAAGTCCCTATTGCAGTGTAAGGTGACATAATCACAAATCCTGGGGATTAAGGCCCGAGGACATCTTTAGCGGTCATTATGCTGCTTGCCACATGAACCAGCTTTGATTTTCTCAACTTTCACTCACTTTCCAACCTTTTATAGGCTTGTGTCCTCATCCACCATCCCAAATGGCCTCAAAATGGTCCCTGCTGACCTCCATGTTGCTGCCACCAATGGGTAGTTTCAGTTGTCCTTCTTCGTGAATTCTTGGCACGGTAGGCCAAGATGAATGAGGCACAACAGGAAGGCACCTGTGGAGGACCAGAGCATGCAGGGTGACGGCGTGTGCTCACGAGCATTCCCTGCTGGGCCCTGTCCCAGTGGCACTGTGTCTGGCTGCAGGAGAAAGCTTTCCACGCTCCCCTTGCTCCATAAATCTCCCAAGGCTCTGCGGTGTCTACACTGACTTTCTGCATTTGTTTAAAAGTATCTGTCAGATAACTTCAGGTGAAGTTCTTTTACACAAACACTTCTACTTACAAATCCAAAGTGGGTAGCTGGGTGAACTTTCACAAAGTAAAGCATGTGCCCATTGCTCAGATGAAGGACCGGAGCATTGCTCGCTCACCCGAACGCCACCCCTGGTCTAAGTACAGGGGTAGCAGCCTGGGGCACTTCTGGGTGGCCTGGGGGTGGCATCATCGTGACCCTGAGTTCCCTGGGGCAGAGCGTCACTCAGAACAGGTGCTGGGATCCCACAAAGGAGGCTAGGATTTCAGGATCCATGGCTTTATCAGGGCCCACCGTGTGCCCAGCAGGAAGACACTGACCCGCAGCCCTGGGCCATGGAGGGGTCTCAGGCCAGCCTCGCTCCGAGTCTGGCAGGTACAGTGTGACAGTGATCATGTTCCAACAAGCGGGACTCTGACCTACACTCTGGTGTCTGATGTCCATCTTGCTGCTGGAGTCAGATTTTAGTGAGCTTAGCGTAGCTGGTTTCTTGGCCACTCTTCTGGTGGTTTTCAAAGATGCGAAAGAAGGCGTTTCGGCAGGAGAGCTGGAGTGTGGGTGAGGGGAGCCAGGAGCGTGTGCAGCCATTCTCCCCAGAGCACCGAGTGGAGGGTGTGAGGCCCTGGGCGGCCCTCTCGCTCCCTCTGACTGCAAGTCTCAGGGAAGGCCGGGGAGCTGGACTGGGCACTTCTTTCCGTGTGAGAGGATTTTGAAACCTAAACGGGACTAACTCAAGCACAGACCGGCGTGTGGGAACTGGGGAGCCCCGAAGCTTCCTCCTTCATGCCACCCTCCCTCTCGGAGGCCGAGGCTGCCAAACCCGCCCCCGCACACCTCAGCAGGAAGGCCCTGGCGGCCCTCCCAGCCGCTTCCTGTGACCTCGAGGGTGTGAGGAGGAGGAAGGGAATCTACATTTGGGGCGAGCCTGCCTTCCTCCTCTCTGAGGAGCAGTGCGGCCCCCGCGCCTGCCAGGCCTCAGAGCTTCTCAGAGCCAGGCCCCGAGACCCCCTCCAACCTGCCTCAGAAGTGGCTGGGGAGCCCGGGACTGGGGGCCCGGCTTATTTCCTGTGGCTGCTTCCACAAATTTCCCAAACCTACGTGGCTGAAAACAACAGAAATTCATTCTCTCGCAGTTCTGGGGGCCAGAACGCTGAAATCAAGGTGTTGGCAGGGCCTCGCTGTCTCTGGGGTTCCGGGGAGGAATCCTTCCTGGCCTTGCCCAGCCTCTGGTCGTGGCCTGCAGTCTCGGCCTGCTGGACGGCTCGGAGCTGCACACGGCTGTCTTCCCTCTGTGTGTCTTCTCCTCTCCTCGGAAGGACACCGGTCGTATGGTGTTAAGGGTCCACTTTACTCCAGGGTGACCTCATTTGTAACTAATGACATCTGCAAATAATGGGGTCACATTCTGGGGTTCCTGGTCGACGTAAGTTAGTGGGGGACACTGTTCAACCTGCCCAAAGCCCCACCATCACCCACCCTCACCCCCATCCACACACACACACACACACACACACACACACACACACACTTCAGAGCACACGCCTACTCAGCACAGGGTGCCCTACCTGGCTTTCCTTTCCAGGGTGAGGCAGGCCCAGGGGTGGTTTCCAGAATAAAACCGCGTCCCTCACTCCGGGAAGGCACGGGCTCACGAGTGGGAGATCAGCAAACCCAAGTCTCCCTCAGGACGGGTGCACACATGCCCAGGGGACACCCACTCAGAATTTTTTCCTCTTTAGATAGGCACTTCAGGACTCCTTGGCTCCTGGCCAATCCCCTCATGCAACTTGAAGGGGAATGAGCCCCCCGAACCTCCCAGTGGGCCACCCCAGGCCTGGGGTTCTGGCATCTTCTCCTGCAGCCCCTACTCGGGGCCTGGTCTGGTGGCCTCTCCACCAGAGCTTCCAGCAAGGCCCCGCACCCCCCCCCCGACTTTCCTGCCTGAGCAGCCCCCGTCCCTGAACCTGTGAGGGAGTGGTGGGTTCCCAGGCCTCTTGTAACCCGGCTGAATATTTTCCAGGTTACCTAACCAAACTCCTGCAAAACCACACTGCCTATGCCTGTGACGGGGACCACTTGAACCTGCAGTGCCCTCGGCATTCTACGATAAGTGTCCAATCGGCATTTTACGGGCAAGATTACCAAATGTGTAGTTCCCAGCAGCCTGCCTCCCAGAGGGAAGACAGCTTAACCTGTGTGGCACCCACCACCTTTCAGGTATTGCCTTTTGTAGATGTGCTAAGATGATAAAATGGTCTCCGCACACGCTCTCTTTTTCTCTCTCTCTGTATATACATTTGTGATTATATAGTTCGCTCCAGGCAAAACTGATCCATGAAAATGCCCATTTATACAACCATTGGTTTTGCAAGTGAGCTCTTACTTGCTTCTCAAAAGGATTCTCTACCAAACAAGTTTAAATAGAGTTGCTTCTTATTTAAATAGAGAGTTCCCTTAATGCACCTGCACTATGAATTTCTTCCTGGGCCAACTCCTTACTGCGGTCGAGCAAAGTACAACCATGCTGGGCTTCAGCCTCTGGGCCCACATCTCCCATAAATGCCCCAGGAGGAGAGGATGGCTGTGGGTTCTTTAATGGAAACCGCAGGTATCTCTACGAGGCAGACGTCTGAGGTCATGACCCACTTCTTAGAAAATGTACTCGAGCAAGGGAAATATCTATAATGGTCTTTTGCTCTTTTATGGTTTGCTTCTCCAATTGTAGATAAATCACATTTTTTGATTCTTGTTTGGAGCTATTTTGGGTGGCCTCTGCTGAATTCATCTTTCTACTGCATAGTGCCAGGAATGGGGTGGGAGGGCACTAAGTCATTCTTTTTGTGGTTGGCATACTTAGGGAAAGATTTGGTATTGTTGAAGGCGAAAACTAGTATTTCAGTGATGGTTTTAGACTATTCATGGCTTTCAGTTAGGTAAGCAACTTCTACCCCACCATCCCCGGCCCCTCGACATTTATAACTAGTCGGTCACGATCAGTGACTGAGTCACTTGGCCTTGGATTTGTTTTAATGCCTCCCTGGTTCCATATGAGTGTGTGCACGGCAGGGATTTTAGAGCACGGGGCACATTAGAAGTCAGTTTGATTTTTGTCAGCCATAGGCAATGTGGACAAAGATATTATAGAGAAAAATGGTTGAAAATTTTTTAAAAAGATAAATTTACTAAGGAAGACTAAGGAGACATAGAATTAGCTTTAGTGCTACGTGGCTCTCCCTAAGGCCCAAAAAGGAGAAACAAAAATATTATGATGATGTCAGGATTTTTCTATTTCTCACACTGTTTATTGCTTCCATTCCAACCATTGTTGTGTTTGTATAGCCATGTGATTGGCAAACACCAGTCGAGTAGCCAAAAAGAATGTGTTCGAATCAATCCCCTTGACGTGATTTCCAACCCCCCGAGGAGAGACAGTTTTTTGGGGAGGCAAGGAGTTGCTTTCCTTGTGTGCCTCACTGTCTTAGGATGTTTTGTGTTGCTATTATGGAATACCTGAGACTGGGTAGTTTATAAAGAATAGACGTTTGTTTCTCGTGGTTCTGGAGGATGGGAAGTCCAAGATCAAGGCGCTGTTTGGTGTCTGGTGAGGGCCCCGTCTCAGCTTCCAGGATGGCACCGTGAATGCTGCATCCTTCTGGGGGGCAGTGGGGGTGTCTGTCCTCACGTGGCAGAAGAGTAGAAGAGGCAAGGGAAGGAGGGGGGACCAAACTTGCCCTTTTATAGCGAGCCTACACCCACTGTAACAACCTACCCGGCCATAACAGCATTAATCCATCCAAGAGGGTGGAGCCTTCATGGTCCAGTTGTTTCTTAAAGTCCCCGCCTCCCAATACTGTTACAGTGGCAATTAAATTTCCACATGAGTTTTGGAGAGGACAAACATTCCAACCACAGCACCCACCCCACCCCCAATTCTCCTCCTTGGTGCCGTGTCCCTCTTGGCCCACCCCCATTCCTCACCCATCCCTGGCTCCCAGGCCATCTGCTGCCTTCCTCGGCTCATGAAAAGAACATTGGCCATTGCCAAAAGGGTGGAAGTGCCTACTTTGTGCAAGTATGAACTCTTGGCACACTGGAGTCCCGGAGCATGGGCACCACCCTCGCCCTCACTCAGGTACCTGCCTCTACCAGGTACCCCCGAGGGAAGAGGATGTTCCCTAACCAGGCTGACAAGTTAGCATTTGTGAACACAGTTCTGATGTTGCTCAGTGGGTTTGTTTGCCAGAAACATCCCCATACACAGCTCTTTCAGCCAGAGATCAAGAGATCCTTTACTTTGTGTCTTTTAAGCTTCTCTTGGAACTGAGGCAAGGTGCTTCCTCGGAGGGAGGTTGCTTAAGGTAGGGAGAGAACACGTTCACACAGGAGACTGCAGCTGCCCAGCCTCCGAGTGAATGTCCAAGGAAGTCCCCTTCTCTGCATCTGTCAGCTCTTAACACAGTTTGGAAATAGCCCTGCCCTGGGCCTCCAGTGACATCTGAGTGCTGAGTCATTTCACGGTGACCTTGGCCACACCAACGTGCTCAGTCATCTGAAACCCGCACCTCCCGGCGGGGAGGTTCCAGGGGTTTCCCTGGATTGATGTATCTTCCCTGATTGATGTATTTCTGCCAGGGCCCGGAGGTGACAGGTGACACCCGGTAGGGCTGGCACTGTGCATGGAAGTGTTCTGTGAGGAGAACATGGCCACTTAGAAAGGCTCGTGAATTTGCACTAAAGTTTAAATTCAGGCCTAAAGTAACAAGTAGATTCTTGGGAACTTTTTTTTTAAATTATTTTTTACATATTTGGTGTTCTTGTCACCTGAAGCAAGTCGAGGACCTCAGTGTTTATCGCGGGCATGGCTCATTCCATTTGGGAACTGAGACTTGAAAGTACAGCGACAAAATGTGGCCTTTGCCTGGCCTGGGGGAGGCTGTTCTGTGAGGCTCCTTGGGGCAGATTCATTAACAAATCAGGGAGTTTCCTGGAAAAAAAATTGGAGAGGGGAGAGAAAGAGAGAGAGATTGAGATTTGAAGGGAAGCAGAAAGTGTGAGTACTCCAGTAAGAAAATTGTTAACCTCGGGAGGAAGAGGCCCTGTACTCTCGAGTTTGGTGAGGGTACGGAGCAGCTTTTTAATTTTTATTTGCTGGCCTGGGTAACGGGTCCCCCCAGGGCCTCCCCAAATGCACATCTCCCCTGGGGCCCGTGTAGGGCTTTTTCTAAGGACAAGGAGCCAGGACTGTGATTTCTCAGCTTGAAGCAAGGGGACGCCTCCTCGAAGGGGACCTCGAATTCCCCCGCAGCCAGACTGGCGAAGACACTCTGGAGCCCCAGCAATGGGCCTTTGCTGAGAGTGTGAGCAGCGAGTGGCGCGGGTGGTGGTGGGCTGGGGGCTGGTTCTCTGACGGGGCCTGGTGCTGCTGGGTCAGTCTCCTCTGGGAAAGAGGAGAGGGCCAGGGAGCCAACCGATCACCCGCCTGCGCGCGCTTTGGCCTAAGACGGGGCGCAGGCCAGCACGCGCCCCCGCCGGGCCCTCACAAAGCCCAGGGCAGCCCAGGTTGGGGGACCGGCGGACACCACGCACGGTTTTCAAGCCTGTCCCTTTTCTACCCCCTCATTCTAGAAGGTGTTGGACGAATGCCAGAACCAGCGGGCCTGCCACCTCCTGGTCAATAGCCGTGTTTTTGGACCTGACCTTTGTCCAGGAAGCAGTAAATACCTCCTGGTCTCCTTTAAATGCCAACCTAGTAAGTAACTTCCGAGGGGGACGGTGTGTTTGGGGTTCGGTTGCCTGTTTCGTTCACGCTCCAGGTGAAAATTCCCTGTGGTCTGAGTTTGTCCGACTTTGAAACTCTTGTTAATAGGAACGTCAAGCCTCGCCCTACCAGGTGTTTAGAGAGACAGTGAGTGTGTGAATTCATATGAATGCCTGAATTTTAAAAATCCTTCCTAATATAAAAACGTCAGTTGCACCGATGCTGAAAATATCAGGAGTGGCGAGAGACTGCGATGTCTAGTCCTTAAAATTGTGCTTGTCAGAGCCCGTCCTGTGCAGAGGCTGATCCCGGCCAAAGCGCTGCCTGTTTTTGTTTGAGGACACGTGGCCCAGTTGCCACCCGAGCCCATCGCTTCAGATCTTTGTGAACTGGCTACTCCCACTCTCACCCGCGGCGGGGGCTCCTTTAGCCGAGTGTCCCCAGGAGGATGAGGGAGGACACGGCTGGAGCCGCCTCTTTTATTCGGATTCTTGTTCCGTTCTCCATTGACTTTTGCCATTTCTAACGCACATCGGTTTTGCGATCAGACCATTGCTGGCCCAAAATTATTGCTCTTCAGCAGGTGTGTCACACTTCCAGGCGCAGAGGGTCTGCTTAGAAGAAACCAAAGGTTATTAGAGCATTAGAGGTTCTCGGGCAACTTGTTGCAAAGAATCGATAGCAACGCAGTTTACACAAAACGCAAGGAATAAGGATTTTTAAATTGCCCCCCTGCCGCCCTGCATAACCATTTTTACTTTTCGCACTTTGCTCCCTGTTGGTTCCTGCCCTGGAATGCCCAGCATTCCCCAAGACACTGGTGGCCTAGGTGCTGGAGTGAGGAGCTGTCATCGGGCCACATTCTCAGTCAGGTGTACCTCTGGGGAGAGAGCCCTGGATCCCTTCTCTCGAACCCTTTCCCTGCTAGAGCCCCGGCAGCGGATCTGCCCCTGTGGGGCTCTGCACCAATCCTGCATGTGCAAACACGCTCACACAGTCACTCTTGCACACCCCCACCACACACACATCCACACTCGCACACTCGCACCACCCCACACGCATCCATGTGGGTGCACACACACAACACACACACGACACACACAGTAGACACTCACGCATTATCATGCATAATATTCCACCCTTATGCCCTATTGTACACACTCACACATGCCCATGGGGAAACACAGGTGAGCACATCCTAAGTAACCAGATCGTACGGTCTAGTGGGGGCCCGATAGTCATGTGGATCACACAATATGTGCAAGATTCCAAGCCAGGCCCGGGCTTCCATGGAGAGGCCCTTGGCACCATGTAAGCAGCTCACGCACCGTGGAAGTAGCACCGCCCTCAGTGGGGTTCAGGGGAGGCTCTTCTGAGCAGGTGATGACGGAGCTGAGGGCTGCAGGGCTGGGGGGGGGCACAGAGAGAGTGCTCCATACAGTAGTCTGTGGCACAGCCAGTGAGGGGGCCGGGTGGGGGAGTGGCCCCGAGGGAGCACCAGCCAGAGAGCTGGAGCAGGGTCCAGGGCCCTCGCGGTTGGGGAAGGAGTTGCGCTCTGCCTGTAGGGCAGCGTCTAGGCAGGGAAGGTGCTTGAGGAAGTCAGAAAGCCCCATGGGCTGCCCCACGGAGAACAGATCAGCGGGCAGACCCTGGTGTCACCCGGACCCTGGCAACCTGAGGCACTGCCTTGTGGGAAGCGGTGGAAGTGAGATTGTCTCCACACCTTGCTGCCCCTTCTCCTGCAGCCCTCCCACCTCGCCAGGTTCTTCTCCTCCACCTTCCCAGGGGCAGCCCCTGTGTGACACCCCGATCGTCCGTGGCCCCCACTGCTGCACGTGGGGGTGTGGGAGCCAGTCATGAGCATCCCTTCCCAGCTCTGTGCTCTGTGAATCTGCCATGTGGGAGGGCTTGCGCCAGGGAAATTAGCAAATGCCACGAATCAGGGTGCATTTGTTTGTTACCGGCAAATCTCACCGGAACCTTCTTTTCCCTAGTGTGCTCCATGCTGCCCCAGCTCTCAGCCCTTCGGGGAATTGAGGTCTGGCGAGGCTTTGGATTCAGGCAGTTCTGGACTCATATCCCTTTCTGCTGTGCGGCTGCTGTGTGGCCTCGAGCAGGGTAGGGACCCTTCCCGAGACACCAGGACTCCGTTGAAACATGATGTCCCTTCTGCATAGGGCTGCTGTGAAGACTGAAAATACAGTGTTGCATGTAAAATGCTGAGCACAGGCTTGGTGATTGGTAGCTACATTCCAACAAGCAGGTTAAAGTCATTCTGGCTAAAGATGTCAATGACTGAAACACAGAGTTGCAGCAAGGGTTGGGGGAGAGGTGTGGTCTGCCCGGGGAGCAGGCAAGAGCAGGGGAGACTGTCTATAGAGAATTTCAAAACACAATAAAAGCGACTAAATGTCTGTCTGCATTTTAATATCACCACACACTGGCAATTGCAGGCAAAGTCAGTAATAAAATACTGTCATCACAGAAGATCCTCCCCTGCCCACCTTTGCAAGGCCACTGCTGGGGACCTGAATGACCCACGTAACCCTCTGCCTGGTAGAAGGAGGAGGGAGAATTTCGTGGCTGTTGTCCTGTTAGCAGAGTCGTGGTTCTGCCTTCCCAGGCTGCTGTCACCCTCCCCATCTACACTCCCCGAGTGCTGGCAACCTGCTTCTGGAAGGCTGCCCACACCTCCTCCAGTCTGAGACCAGTTGGGAACTCTAACCCGGCTCTAAAACACATTCTCGTCCTCTAAGAAAAGAAGCAATAATGTTAGTAGTCCCGTTGTTTTCTAGAATCCAGAAACGTCACTCTTAGGTGACCGTGAATTAGCACACTCCCAAGGAGCCAAGTGACTCCATATAACACAGCAGCCACCCCGAGGACGAGGACGTAATGTGACATGCATGCGCCCCCTCCATTCCAGGACAGGATCTGCCCACAATCTGGGGACGAAATCTCTGGAGGCCCTACATTCGGGTGTTGTGTTACTCTGGGAGGGTTTTATTGGCACCGAGGCTGCCTTTAATGAATGGGCTTTAATAAATCAAAGAGATGTGGCTAATAAATGCATTTCATGACAGGCCTTGATAAATATTCTCGTTTTTTAAAATGCTGATTGAAAAAGAAAGAAAAAAAGACTAATCCTGTTAAAGAAGGTTCCAGTTTGCCGAGATAAAGCTTGGGTTTGTCCTGCCTTCTCCCGCCCCACCCCCCCTTCTTGGAGCAGCTCCGCCACGAAAAGGCATTCTTAGCATTTCTTGGTGCTCTCCCAGTTGGAAGGGTGCTCTGGCTCTATCTGTGCCCTCTTTTTGCATCAAAGGCCCCCAGTCGGGCAAAATTTCGGTGTTGGTGGGATTTAGTATATACTCCTAAACAGCACTGAAGAACTCGTGCCAATGCGGATGTGACTCACCAAAGAAAATGAAACCCTCTGATGTTGGGGTCAGACTTAGTGTGCTTTTTATTTAGGGAACAAAACAAAACAAAACAAAACTATCCTTAGCTCTAAGCTTAAGCTGTTATATTAAGATTCCAATCAGTGAGTGAGGAGCCTTCAGAGCATTTGCTTAGTCACCATTTTAATCTGCCCTCCTCGTGGTGGCTCTTTGTGTATGTTAAACCACTAGCGAGGAAGGGGGCTTGTGCGCATCTGTCCGTAACCTGGCTTCTGCTCCGAGCCTTTCATTAATCTTGAATGTTCCATCATCATGGATGAAAGGACAAAGTTCCACCAGCACCAAAGCTGGCAGTAATCTTGGGGTCCTAAAAACTTTTCCTTCCTGTCATTCAAAAGTTTGGTGTCACTGCTGCTCCTCCGTTTTTGGTAGAGAGTTGTGGGAATTTACAGGTAACAGAAAAGTGGGGTTTATATTTGGGAATTATTTTCTTCAATGATTTAAGTGTAAGGCTGAGTGTGATGGATTCTAGGAGATGGAGACCCAGCCGGCCACTGTCGCAGGTGTGTCCTGTTCACGCCTTGCTGTGAGGTTTTAAGGTGGGAGCTTTCAAACTGCTGTGATTGCAACCCATAGTGTGAAAAACATTTTACGTTGTAGCCCAACATAGCATGTACTCTCATACGTACAACTGATAAAAAATGTTTTAAATTGCAAAACAGTGTTTATTCTTTCTTCACGTATGCCCTTGATGTTTTCTAAACTGCTTTACTCTTTATTTTTTATATATTTATTCTTTTAGAGGCAGAGTCTCAGTCTGTCTTCCCCAGGCTGTAGTGCAGTGGCATGATCATAGCTCATTGTAACCTCAAACTCCTGGGCTCAAGCGATCCTCCTGCCTCAGCCTCCTGAGTAGCTGGGACTACAGGTGCATGCCACTATGCTGGGCTAATTAAAAAAAGTTTTTTTGTAGAGACAGGGTCTCGATATATTACTCAGGCTGATCTTGAACTCTTGGCCTCAAGTGATCCTCCTGCCTTGACCTTCACAATGCTGGGATTATAGATGTGAGCCACCGTGCCTGGCTTTTATATTTTTAAAATAGCTAGTCACAAGTCACTAATGATGATTTTGAGACTCATTAATGGGCCTCAAATCACAATTTTGGAAAACTTTGGCTTGAGGTGTATCAGGGACCTGGAATCAGCATGCACTTCCCATCCAGGAAAGAAACGTGGAAGGAAAACATGAATGAACGAGAAGAGTGAGAGGCAGGGGTGCATGGGGGGCTAGTTTTCTCTCACCTACCACCAGGCCAGCCCCTGACAACCCAAGCAGCTCCTGTTGTTTAGCTCTTGTTTGTGGCTAACTCCAATGCTTATTTGGCTGAAAGATGCACCTTACTACTATGTGGTTGCCCTTTCAAAGTCGAAAACCCACAGCAGGACATGATAGGGTAGAGCTGGCCTTTTTTTCCTAATTTTTCTTGACAAAATGTTGGGGAGAGGAGAACATATGCAAATAAATGACCACAGTCCCCTTTACGTTTTTGCTTTGCTTTTATTTTGAAAAATTTAAGATAAGTGACAAGCTAGGACAAGATTTTCTAACACATAAGAGATAAAAGTTAGTGTCCAGAATACACGAGTCACTCCTACAAACCATTTCTAAAAATCCAACCCACAACATGCAGAGGATTTGAAGAGTTCGTTCCCAGGAGGGCAGTTTTGGGTGTTAAATTCTTTAATACATTTGAAGCTTTTAGCACAGGGCCTAGTTGAGAGGAAATACTCAGTACTCAATGAATGTTAGCTATTATTATTTTTAAAATATGTTTATTGAGGTATAATTCACCATAGCATAAAACTTACCCCCCTTTAAGTATACAGTTCAGTGATTTTTTTTTTTTTTTAGTAAATTTACTGACTTGTGTAACCATGACCACAATCCAGCTGTAGAACATTCCAGCATCTCGTAAAGTCTCCTTGCATCCATTTGCTCTCACTCCTTAATCCCGACTTCGACCTCAGGCAACTGCTAATCTATATCCCGCCCCTGTCGGTTTCCCTCTCTGCATATTCCACATAAATGGAATCATACTATATGTGGTCTATTGTGTCTGGAATGTTAAGACATTGTGTCTTTTGTGTCACTGCTTTTAAAAATCAAATCATTATTAAATAATTTTACTAATTGAATGGTTTAGGGATACATTCTTTTAAAAAAAAATTATGTTTTCTTCAGCAGTGCATTTATAAGGCTAACTCTGTATGACGTTGCAGAGAAAGATTTTACTACGGTAAGCAGATTAAACAAACAAACAAGTTTTTCCCTAGATTCTTTGGGAACAAAGTACGACCTGGTTCAGATCATCCTAACCTAGAATGCGCCTCAGCGTGAGGGTCAATTGTTCCTGGATTACCAGATTTGGGACGGACTTCTCCTACTTCTCTAAAGAAGGATTCTTAACAGACACGGCGCTTTGTTTTTGCCCCTTTCCCTGGAAATAATCTGATTTTATATCATCTTTCTCACTTTTTAAATGCATAAATGGGAAAGCTAGTTATGGAGATGGTGGTGAGGTTTAGCTGGGCTGTCTCCGGGGGTCTAAGGCTTCTATCAGGTAATCCCTGGTCTTCACTTGTGTGGATCTCAAGCCAACGTTTGAGAAAAGGCTCCCTTTGATTAAGGAACTTGTGACCTCAGGGGGGAAGAGAGAGAAACTTCCTTATGGCCAGTCCCTTCCTGGGACCCAAACCAGCCAGTGCACCTGCCTTCACCCTGGCCCCTCTGCTCGCTTTGCCCCTTCGTAGATTCCTGGGGTGTTTGCTCTTGTCGCCAGGCTGCTTCCCCCTCTTTCTTGCGGGGGGTTTTCTTTTTTGGGTTTGGGGCCCCCTTGGGCGGCCGGGGCCTTTTGGTTTGCGTCTTTTTCGGGTTGGGGCCCGGGGGTTGGGGTGGGGGTAAGCAGCGGGGCTTGCATGGTGCTCACCGGTTCCTTCTGGGGGAAGCTGATGGTGCTGCTGATTTTTATTTCTGCTTCAGATGAATTAAAAAACAAAACCGTGTGTGAAGACCAGGAGCTGAAACTGCACTGCCACGAATCCAAGTTTCTCAACATCTACTTTGCAGCCTACGGCAGGAGGACCCAGGACAGGGACGTCTGCTCCTTGGGAACAGAGCGGCTCCCCCCCTTTGGTATGTATGCTTGTACGGTTACAAGTGAGGCTCTGTCTGTGTGGATCGGGGCCCTGGCTCCCCCAGGGCGGAAGCCATGGCAGCCGCCACCACCTGGGCTCGAGGCCCAGGACAGGCAGGAACCGCCACACTGCGGGTGCACCTCTTTCTCCTCCACCTGCCTGAATCTGTCATTCAGTCATTCAACACCGAGTGGTTATTGAGCACCTGCTGTATGCAGGGCCCTGTTCTAGGCATGGGGGAGCCATCCGTGACCAACACAGAGTCTACACCCCCACCCTACACAGAGCTGGCCTTGCAGCAGTGGAGGGGGAGGCGGTGAGAAAATAGATAATAAGTGAGTGAAGGCCAGGCGTGGTGGCTCACGCCTATAATCCTAGCACTCTGGGAGGCCAAGGTGGGTAGATTGCTCAAGGTCAGGAGTTCAAAACCAGCCTGAGCAAGAGCGAGACCCCGTCTCTACTATAAATAGAAAGAAATTAATTGGCCAACTGATATATATATATAAAAATTAGCCGGGCATGGTGGTGCATGCCTGTAGTCCCAGCTACTTGGGAGGCTGAGACAGGAGGATCGCTTGAGCCCAGGAGTTTGAGGTTGCTGTGAGCTAGGCTGTCGCCATGGCGCTCACTCTAGCCTGGGCAACAAAGCGAGACTCTGTCTCAAAATAATAATAATAATAATAATAAGTGAGTGAATATGTTGTATGTCAGATGCGGATGAGATTCGTGCTCGGGGCAGGAGAGGCCGGTGGAGAAGGCTGGGCGTGTGCCGCACAGAAATACGGCTTTGAGGAGTGATGGCATGCTGAACAGAAACTTGCAGGGGCCGAGGGAGTGAGCCCACAGCTGCCTGGGGGCGAGTGTCCAAGTGGAGAGAGGATCCAGTCCAAGGCCCTGAGGACTGGCCGTAGCCAGGTGTTTAGTGGCAGAAGACCCCAGCGTGCCATTCTTCTTGCAGGCGATGGCCATGGTAGGGCCCAAGACCTTCACCCAGCAGAGCCGCCCTGTATTATCCAGAGAAACAGAGCCAATAGCATATGTATCTGCATGTTTACATGGAGAGAGAAAGAGGTGTTGAGGAATTCGCTCACTTGATTGTGGGGGCTGGCAAGCCTGAAATCTGCTGGGCAGGCGAAGCAGGCTGGAGACCCAGGGAGGGGTTGAGGTTGCAGTCCTGAGTCTGAGTTCTGCAGGACAGCAGGCTGGAAATTCAGGCAGGATTTTGCTGTTGCAGCCTGGAGAAGAATTCCTTTTCAGGGAAACCTCAGTCTTTGTTCTTATAACCTTCAACTGATTAGATGAGGCCCACCCACATTATGTAGTTCATCTGTTTTACTCAAAGTCTACTGATTTAAACGCTAGTCACATCTTAAAAATACCTCCATAGCGGGCCAGGTGCAGTGGCTCACACCTGTAATCCTAGCACTCTGGGCCCTTAGATCTAGTTAAGGGCAGCCGCATGCCCACATCAGCCTGCCTCTGTGCCCTCCCTGGGCTGCCCTCCAGCAACCCTCCGCCATCCTCAACAGAAGGGCCTTCCCTGAACACGGGGTTTGGGGCCTTGGGAAGCACATGTCCCTAGTGAATTTCTTTTTGGTTCTCTATTGCGTCTTGTCTGAGAGTTTGCCCATGCAGTGAGCTCACTTTATGTTCACTGTTTTTTTTTTTTTTAGGGATGGAGTCTCCTACCTTGCCCAGGCTGGCCTTGAACTCCTGGCTTAAGCAATTCTCCTGCCTTAGCCACCCAAGTAGCTGGGACTATAGGCATGCGTCCCAGGGATGCTCATTTTTCTTTTTTTCAAGTCCAAGGTATTACTTAGGCATGCATTTCTTTCTTTTCTTAAATTTATGTTGAACTTCACATGCCAGCCATAAGTAAATTGTAGCAATTTCTTTCTCTCTTTCTCTCCTCTCTTTCCTTCCTTCCTTCCTCCTTCCTTTCCTTCCTTCCTTTCCTTTCCTTTCCTTTCCTTTCTTTTTCTTTTTCCTTTCTTTTTCCTTTCCTCTTTCTTGCTTTCTTTCTTTCTCTCTTTCTCTCTTTCTTTCTTGTCTTCTTTGTTGCCCAGGCTACAGTGAGTGCCATGGAGTCAGCCTAGCTCACAGCAACCTCAAACTCCTGGGCTTAAGCAATCTTTCTGCCTCAGCCTCCCAAGTGGTTGGGACTACAGGCATGTGCCACACATGCCCGGCTAATTTTTTCTAATATATTAGTTGGCCAATTAATTTTATTTCTTTCTATTTATAGTAGAGACGGGATCTCACTCTTGCTCAGGCTGGTTCTGAACTCCTGACCTCAAGCAATTCGCCTGCCTCAGCCTCCCAGAGTGCTAGGATTACAGGCGTTAGCCACCGTGCCCGGCCTCTTTATTTATTTTTGAGTCAGGGTCTTGCTCTATTGCCCAGGCTGGAGTGTAGTGGTATGATCATAGCTCACTGTATCCTCAAACTCCTGGGCTTAAGCGATCCTCCTCTCTATCAGCCTCCTGAGTAGCTAGGACTACAGGTGCGTGCCACCATACCTGGTTAATTTCTAAATTTTTTTATCCTGTAGAGACAGGATCTCACTGTTGCCCAGGCTGCTCTCAAACTCCTGGCCTCAAATGATCCTCCCTCCTCAGCCTCCCATAGGGCTGGGATTATACAAATGAGCAACTGCATCTGGCCAAATTGTAGCAATTTAATACATGAAGGAGCTCATTTTAGATTTTTATTTATTTATTTATTTATTTATTTATTTATTTTGAGACAGAGTCTCACTTTGTTGCTCAGGCTAGAGTGAGTGCCGTGGTGTCAGCCTAGCTCACAGCAACCTCAATCTCCGGGGCTCAGCGATCCTACTGCCTCAGCCTCCCGAGTAGCTGGATACAGGCATGCGCCACCATGCCCGGCTAATTTTTGTATATATATTTAGTTGGTCAATATTTATTCTATTTTTTGGTAGAGACGGGTCTCACTCAGGCTGGTTTCGAACTCCTGACCTTGAGCAATCCGCCGCCTCGGCTCCAAAGTGCTAGGATTACAGGCGTGAGCCCAACGCCCAGCTCCATTTTAGATTTTGATCAATACGTAACAACTCCCAGGCTGTTTCACTGCTAGATCTGTAATCTCCAGTAACGCAGCAGAGAGAGATCAAGAAAGATTTTTCACCACCACAAATTAGAATGCAATGTGTCACTTTTTTTAAACATGTCACCATTTTTATCGTGTCACTTTGACTAGGCTATAGCCCTGAGCTGTTTGGTCAGATACCAGTTTAGATGAAAACCAGTTTAGATGCTGCTGTGAAGGTTTTGTTTTTTTTTTTTTTGAGACAGTCTCACTGTTTCCCAGGCTAGAGTGCAGTGGCGTCAGCCTAGCTCACAGCAACCTCAATCTCCTGAGCTCAAGC